CATAGCTCCAAATCATATCAAGCTTGAGAGCCTATATGAGAAATTTGAGCTTTTACAAAGGAACAAAGTCCTCAAATTACTTTCAATACTGTTCTGCGCAGTATTCGGCACCAGTCATCTAAAATTAGATTTGCCAAATTCCCCGCTCCTTCACCTAACTGGTCATCATGAACAGAAAGTGGATTTATAAATTTTTTTCTTTCTTTTCGCTAAGGTTGCTTCACCTCAGGGTTTTTCCATCTTTCGAAATTATTTCTGTCATTTTAGCGTAGTTTTTCCTGCACATCGTTTAATTTCTGCCATTCTATTTACAAGTACATGATCAGCATGAGTGAGCGTAAAATCATGTCAACAGAGGCACTGATTTCACTGATCACTGATAAGTCACCCATGGATTCATCCTTCCCACCCCTTGCTTTCTCTTATCTCGTTTTTCTCATGTTATATTGAACTGCTTCCTTATCAGATGCAGATGATACTCGCTGATTCGAGAAAATCCTTCAAAGTCGAGGAAGGAAGGATGTACGCTCTGAATGAAATCCCGATTTTGAAACAAATATTGAGCGGTGAATATCGTCCATCCTCACTTTTACTGGATTTTACCACAAAATATGTTCTGGTTCATATTGCTGTCAGCGCTGCTGTACTCCACAGTGGTTTCTTCAGGTATGCGGATATTTCGAGATTTCTATGAAATCTTCGGAAAATATTGAAGATGAAAGGTAACAGCGCGGCAAAAATCCTCAGTTTTATGTTACATTTTTGTACCTTGCAAAAAACTGGTTGTCTTTAAGCTAAAATTCCCGAATTACCCGCTTCAAATAACAAGCAGTGCGCCCACCAGGACATTGGGCTAATTAGCAGGTCCGGCTGTGCTAACGATTGCCCTAAAACAGATTCTGTTTATTTTCCTAGTAAAAATCAAAGAATACTGCTAAGTACATCGCCGCTTTATTTCATGATCGTGCACCATTCCTATTTTAGTGGATATTGTTCGACTGGCCTGCCAGCGAAACCCGAATTTACGATATTGCAACAGAAAAGTAAATTCAGCGCTCACGCACGAATCGGACGACAATGCATCGGATAATCTCACTTTCGATAGCAATGACAAACTCGATGAAGTTCTGTTTTATTGATGATACGAATCTAAAACAAACCTAGAATTAAAATTTGTTGTCAAAAACCAGTCAAGAACCTTTTATAAATCGCTTTCTTTGGGAAGCAGAAGCTTCGAAGCAGCTCAACTAATGGCACGGTGAGTAGGTCGCTGGGTGGTAAGGCGGTTGATAGTTTTTTCCTCCGGGTTTGCTCAGAAGCAATTTAACAGCGATTCTCTAGCAAACTGCAATATCTACCATCAAAACGAATGAACAAATCTCTTTAAGATTAGTTGTTTCGCTAACGGAGTCGGCGTCTATCATGAAGTTTTACCAGTTGATACTATCTCGTGCACATTATCAAAATGAATGTACACAAGAATACTAAGACCGCTGGGTCTAACAACACTGGTTCTCAATAAGAAGAATCCCACAGGTTATCTGTAGTGATGCCAGACCGTTCGATCTCGGCAGTATACCATTAATTAGTTAAACTGCAAGTTTGATGTGCGTCGTCTCTTGATGACCCTTCGAGCAGTTGTTTCACTAATGTGGATCATCCGGCAGTGCTGGCAGGGCATTCAGTATGTCCTATCCATCGGATTTCACTTTCTTGCATGGTCGCAACAACATATTGCATATCACTCAACTGATAGAAAGACTGATTTTTTTATACTGGCAGCGAATAGGCAGTGCCACAGCCAGCGTTTGCTCTTCAACTTTCGTCAGTGACCACGTTTTACATCCGTACTTTATTGCTCTCGGTAGATCTGTCATATAAATCCTGAAATGAGAAGCCCTGGTATGGTGCTGTGATTATTGTGCCTTTAAAATAAAGCAATATAATTACATAGTTTACATTATTTTATAGGAAAGTGCTTCTGCAAAACTCTACAAAAAAATTTGTTGGATCGCATAATGGACATTGAAGTTTCAGGATGATATAAGGATAACTCCGCCACCACTACCCCCGGCAAGTCTACAAAACCGTATTAATCCATTTTATTCGAGATCATCCTTGTCGAATTACCGATTTCCGCCTGCCGTCTATGCTCTTTATCCTAGCTTATTACCAAAGGATAACCCGAGCTTGTATTGCTCACAAGCTTCGTTACAGTTCCAGAGCACATGTGTAAAAGGGAAAAAATTACGATACGACCTAAAGGTGTGCATCGATTTTAAGTGCGCAAAATCGAAAAATTTAAAACCCGCCATTGTTTTTCAAATGAAAATGACAGACGATGTGAGCTGAAAAATGGCCGATGAAGAAAAGGGAAAAAATGGACATCATTTTGAAGTAAAGCAGCCAAATTTTGAGCAAAATGTACATGCATCTAAGATTTACCCCCATCCCTTCCCATCTTTCTTTCACCCCACTCCGCTAACTTGTTTCTCTAAACAGTTCTTTAGCTATCAGATAAGCCAATTCCATTACTCCTACAATTGACATGTGTGTTTTTTGTTCAGATTTTCTGCCAGGAGTATGCAGATACATGCGCGGTACCGAACAACAACAATTATCCGGATGGTTCTGATGGACGACCGTATGGACACGGCCAGAAGCAAACAGGCGGCGCGGTGGGTGTTGGAAGCAGTTATGCTCTAGGACTCGGTCCGGTACCCGGTTTTGAGGTAGTCAGCAGCCAGGGCGTCGATGTCGGTCCTGTGCCTGGTTTGGATGAGGTAAAATTAAAAAACACTGTGAAATGGCTATTTTT